CAATTTCAACACCCTTAATCCATTTGATCTGAATGTGGATTTTGAGTTATGAAATCTTTTATGATCCTTTTTTTCCCTTTCCATTTTTTGTTTCTTTTATCTTGAATTAAATTTTGAATCCCATTTTTATTATAATACATGAAATTTTTTAACATATAAATTCCCGATATGTATTTTCTATGACTAAAATATTTTAAGCACTTTCCATGATAACTATATATATTTACAACCCCTTATTTGATGAAAGCAATTCCCTTATTAGTTTCAATATGTATATTTTTTATAGATGTGTTTCCATAAGTAAGCCTATATCTATATAAAAGGGTTTTTGTTTTTTGATACCATCTAATAAATATAGGCAAGGTCTATTATGAACTAAAGGATAGATGATGCATTAGCAATGAAAATATAGAAGCAAATATTCAATCCATAATACAATGTTTTATGTTATCTCTTTTCCCGTATTTACGGTTTAACATTGCACATTAACTATGACAACTGACTCTCAATTCCAAATATCAGATGAAACGGCCTGGAAATAAGGTATTGCAACAATGAAGAGAAGCATTCTGGAAGCAGTACTTCCCACCAAACACCGGAAGTGACGTATCACAGGTGAGTTCACGCGCCACTTCCTGGTACACGAACAGGCAAGGATCATCATAGGGATACTGCCTTGGACCGCACAGAAGCTGTGAGTAATCCATGGGTATTGGATCAACAAAGAGAAAGGGTGGAATAGGCGGACATTTAAAACTGGAACCGGACATCCTGTGAACTTACCATTTGAAAGGGGGGTTATCTGGAGTACCCATAGAGTGTTTTCAGCTGCTATATTAATATAATATCACTACAATAAGTAATAAACGCCACAAATTTTGACACTTAAGTTTTATTTTTTTAACATTGATAAACAAATGGGTTGGTTCCTGTTATATGATGGATATGTAAATGTGAAAAATTTTGTATGAAATTATTTTTTACCTAGCCACTCCAGTGCTAATGTTGGCCCTGCACAACAGTAACAGAGGTGAAGGGTGATTAGATCTGTCTTGCCATTGGCATTCGATTAATCTCAAAAGGTGTTTGAAACAGTTTAAGTTTAGTTTCTGTGCAGCCAGTCAGATTCAACCTCAACCTCTACCTCAACCATCAACCTCAAGAAACAATTTCTGTGTGGACCTAACATTGAGCATAGTTGAGTGCTATTGTGTAATTAGAATTGATATATCCCTTCAGTGGAACTAATTGTCCTGCCTGATCCATTAAAACAGGCCCAGAATATTATTTATCAGTTGGCATTACACCCTGTTCCAAATTATAATGCAAATTCTATTGAAGTGTCACAAAGATTAAATATTTTGTTTTTCAGTTTAACTCATGGATGGCATTGTGTCTCGGGGCTCTTTTGATCACTGAAAACAACCTCGGACACCTGTGATTGTTAGATTGCCAGGTGAGCCCAATTTAAGGAAAAACTACTAAAGAGGGTGTTCCACATTATTAAGCAGAGCACCATTTTCATGCAATGAAATCCAATGGATTTTCATCCGATGGATGGGGAAGAAAAAGGATCTTTCTGCTGCCGAAAAGAGTGAAATAGTTCAATGCCTTGGACGAGGTATGAAAACATTGGATATTTCACGAAAACTTAAGCGTGATCATCGCACTATTAAGAGATTTGTGGCTTATTCAGAGCACAGAGCACATCAAGGTGTAGAGTCCTCCACAGTCTTGCAATTGTGCATAAACCTTCTATTCGGCAACCACTAACCAATGCTCACAAGCAGAAACAGCTGCATTGAGCAGAAAAATACATGAAGACTAATTTTCATACAGTCCTGTTCACTGATGAGTGCCATGCAACCTTGGATAGTCTAGATGGATGGAGTAGTGAATGGTCACCCTGTTCCAACAAGGCTGCGATGTCAGCAAGGCAGTGGTGGAGTCATGTTTTGGTCCGGAATCATGGTAAGAGAGCTGTTCGGCCCCTTTAGGGTCCCCGAAGGTGTAAAGATGACCTCTGCAAAGTATGTGGAGTTTCTGACTGACCACTTTCTTACCTGATACAGAAGGAAGAACTATGCTTTCTGTAATAAAATCATCTTCATGCGTGACAATGCACCATCTCATGCTGCAAAGAATACCTCTGCATCAATGGCTGCTATGGGGATAAAAGGAGAGAAAATCGTGGTGTGGCCTCCATCCTCCCATGACCTCAATCCTATTGAGAACTTTTGGAGCATCCTCAAGCAAAAGATCTATGAGGGTGGGAGGCAGTTTACATCCAAACAGCAGCTCTGGGAGGCTATTCTGACATCTTGCAAACAAATTCAAGCAGAAACTGTCCAAAAACTCACAAGTCCACTGGATGCAGGACTGCTATCAAATAAGGGGTCCTATGTTAAAATGTAACGTGACCTGTTAAAATGTTTAAAAAGTTAAAACGTTGTCAAGTTTGATTGAAATAGCTTTTGATTTCAGTAAATATGCTGCAAACACAACAAATGACAATTTTCAGTTCTTTACAACCTATAAAGTGTTTTGAAACTTATTGTGCGTAATAATTTGGAACACTGCATTGTAAGTTTTTTATGTTTAAAAAAATACTGTTATCATTAGGAGGTTTGTTCAATAAAATTTGAATTGTACTCTTAATAGTTGATAACATGAGAATAATGCTGACTGTTATTTACATCAATTATTTAGGTAAATGGGAAAAAAATCATTTGCATAATAATTTGGAAGAGGGTGTATACAGTCATGTAGGCAACATTCTCCCATCATATGCAATGCAAGGCCTTTCCATAAGGTTGAGAGCAATGACTAATCAGTGCACCAGGAATGCATTTTCTCCAGAATCAAATAGTGGAGAGATTTTCACCATCCTAGCTTACCCATGGCAATGTGTATGATGATTTTAGGCTGCTGGACTAGGGAAACCAATTTCATGAAACTCCATATAACATTTTTTCTGCGGATATGGCTATAGCAGAGACAACTAGTGAGTGCTCTAGCCAAAGATAGATGATTTTTATGTCCAATGAATTTTAACATGAGGTGGTCCAGCTCTGTAAGCTTATTTGATCAACCGCTCAATAGCCAATCATTTGTTGAAGTGGCTTTTAAAAGCAGCATTAAGTTGTGTAACTGTCCTTTACCAGTACTGAGAATTCTGGGTCCAATTCCTGTCTATCTGTCTATCTAGCTATCTTTTTTATTTTTAAAGAAATAATATATAATAGCAGTATGAATATTATTTGGATATTACATTTTTATCTGAATCACAACATCATTAAGCTTATTACATGTGCCGTAATTGAGGATATGTATTCTTATTTTCAGCTTTTATTAAATTAATTTGTTACTAAGTTATGCTCAGTTTTTTATTAAAGTTCAGTTTTTGTTGATAATGTTTTGATACAACAGCATTAACAATTCACATAGCTGTGAATAGTCTTTTTTGTATTTTGCAACATTAAATTAAGCATTAAAGCAAAGCTTCATGGAATTTATAGATTGTATAGCAACTGTAGCGCTATCTCAGCTGACATTGGTCTTGGAATTTTCTTAATGAAATGTGATCATGATTTATAGTGCACCTTATATGCATTTATGATTTCTTCATCATTGTTGTGCTATCTCTCTTTGGCACTCTGAAACTCCTGTTTTTTTTTTTAAATTACCCTCTGTGATGGCTGGTCTGGCAAAGAGCTTTGTGCTGAAACGTGGGTTTGCAAAAATAAGGAAGTGATCATATGACTGATGAACAGCGTGGTTTCCTACTAAAATACTGTATAAATAACAGTCTTTTAAAAATGTTGGACTAACCTTACATGCACACGGAGAATGTCCTACCAGTATAATTGGGTACAGTTGAGCAATCACAGTGAGTATATATACAGATTGCCAAAAGTCACAGAGTATGAATAAAGCATTATTGGAATTATTCAACTATGTTATAAATATTCCAGTGAGCATTGAAGGGACATTAATGTGCAAAAATAAACCTAATGTATGACAGAGAACCCTTAACACACTGAAACTACTAATTTATTTTTTCATAAAGAGCTACTAATTGCCACAAATCATAAATTTATTCTGAAGCCATCTCATGAAGTCGGGTACTATTTTCCATGGTCAACAAAAGAAAGGAGACATTCTTTTGATGACCATTGAAAATAGACATTCCACCTTAATTTATCAAAGCATTCCGAATGGTCTTCTTTTTATCCACAAACTAGTAGGCTGGACTTGCAGATTAAAAAAACAACAAAGGGGGCGGGGCCAGACTGCTGAGCAGGGCAGTCGCAGGCAAGAGAAGCTCCTGCATCACATTACTAAAAATGATGAAAAACCATGTCTTTTTATGGAAAAACAGACTGACAGCAACAGCGCCCAAAGTAGAAGGACTGCTGGAACCAGGGAGAGGCTGGCTCTTCGGCCTTCAGTCCCCTGGTGGAGAAACTTTTGGTGCCCCAATTGAGGCCTTCTCCGGCGGTGAGTGGGGCGGACAGCTGCTGCCCCACTATCCTGCAATACAGCATTCAGCATAGAACACAAACCCGGGCAGCTCCGGCCCTGTTCCTCCCCCCCATGTACCGGGGGTAACCCCGGTCCTCACCCTAAAGGCCTGATCGAGATACAGCAGACGAAACCGGGGGGCCCAACTGCTGCACCCAAAATGGCGGCCGCCATGTGTGCAAGGTAGAAAGGGAGGATCAGCACCATCCCTGTGCCGACGGCTGACACCGCGGCTCATGCCTACAGACACTGCCATGCAGGGGAGCAAGATCCCTACTACCTGCCCCAGCAGCCATCCAAACCAAAGACGACAGCGGTTGCACAGGGGGGACGGACCTACCCCGCGCCCCAACCACAGCTGTCCGCAAGGACCGAGCAGGGCGCCAATCAGGGTACCCCAGCACTAAACTGGACATCCCACTCACCTTTTGTCCAGCCTGCCACCAAATGACCCACAACCTGGCGACCACATGCAGACGACACTAAGCCTCCCACCACAGTTGACCCCAGCCCTCGAAGGACCAAACACACCACAAAGCAGCTGCAGCCCTAGATACACCAGCGTGCAACCCACAGAGCAGCAGGGCTGGACAGTGTGTTCAGATGCTTGCTCTGGAGGACACTCACCCCCCGGTACACAGAACGAGCAGAGCAGGTATCGGTCAGCAGTGGGACTCCCCCTCCGAGAGCGGCCTCAGGACCACCACGATGGCGGTTCCCCGCTGGGGCGGTACGGACAGCCCAGACTGGCCTGGGTGATAACAGCGACAACAATATTAAAGTGACTGATGATAATATTAGAGTGAATGATGATAGTACTAAAGCAACTGATGTTAGTATTAAAGCGAATGATAAGAGTATTAAAGCGACTGACAATAGCATTAAAGCAACTGTTAATAGTTTTAAAGTGACTAACAGAAATCTAGCATGAACACCATTTACAAATCATATGTACTAACATGTCTATACAGCTACCACAGTATGCATGTATAACTTGTGACATCTACGGAACTAGTGCAGACACTGACCAAGCCTCATTACTGTATAAACCTACTGTGAAAAGCCGAACTTAAGCTGAATATAACAAAAAAAAATTTTTTGCCTGTTAATCTCTGGTCCCGCATGTTTAACGAGGAAAATGCCTGAGGATTGCCTTTGGGGCACCTCTTGCCTACTTGTAATATCTTTGTGCATTACAAAAAAAATAAAAAATTAAATAAAAAAAAAACAAGAAAACAAACACAACAACAAAAAAAAATACACTTTGTTGGGTACTCAATGTTTAATTGTTACTGCCATGAAAAATCAGGACAATATATGGTACGATTCTGGCATATAACTTAAGTTACTAAATAACAATGTACCCATGATTTGCAAACAGGGAGGAGTAAAACAAAAAGGGACCATACTTACTTATATTTCCGTTTGAGCACAGTAGCTAATGTCTTCTATAAATTATGCTGACATGAGCTATACTGGACATTAAATATAGACTAGACTCAATCAGCTCTGTCTCATTAGTTTATCCTGTAGAGCAGACACAGAATAAAGCTGTATTTTTTCATAATGTATTTTTATATTTCTGTATAAGTTCTAGATTTCTTTTAATTAAGATATATTGAATAGTTATATTTTTTAAGACATATTATCAGAATGTTTTCTTAATGCGATACCCTAGTATGGATTTCATCCTGTACTGTCTAAATAATGCACAATAAATACTTATGATATTTATTAATAGTGATTGATCTATGATTGATATTAACCAAACAGATACTGTACTGTTACTATGAGACATTTCTCCCATGTGTAAACAGCTTTTGTCTGACAAGTGCAATATCCTTTGTTACTTTCAAGTGTGTTTATTCTGTTCTTGCATTCTTGAGCATATCACAAATATGGAACTATTCACGGTTTGGTAGCAGAACAAGAATATCTTGTCTTGTTTAAGACACAAAAGTATACAACCTATTTTGTATAGAGCAGTATTTGTCTGAAGATCAGAACCCAACTGGAGCATTGCATGCAAACAAGGTTCTGTTGTATCCATACGTTGTGCAAGTGAGCGAGAGTGTTCCCCTCGATGATATTTTTATTTTTTATTTAAATGTATTTCAGAAAACATCCAGTTGAAGCTATATATCATATTTGTTATTTACATTTATTTTCAATTATATTTGTAATATATTTACTATAATTACTTTCTTATAATAATACCCCTCAATATACAGTATTGTTTTAGCAATAGGATGTGTTGATGTAGGGCTCCTCAAAGGTGGTGCTAGGTTCCAGAAACATCTGGAGATTGAGACCAAAATAAAACATGCTAACCTTTATACCAACAGAGAGTTGGAGATGTCATGACATATGATACCGGGTGCCCAGCCACACCGTAATATGGAAAATAATCGATTGAAAATAATCAACTCCTGGATTTCAACAACAATTTGGTTTATTATCATGAATCAACGTTTCAGTTCCTAACTTATAACTTTCATGCAGAACTCACCTGCTCTTATCTGTTTCACTAAATGATTTTTACATATGCATCAACTACACAGCTTATTGAATATGTTCGGTTTGCAGATATAGCCTGTTTGCTTTTCAGTTTTTAGCATACGTGAGCTCCAAACAAGCAGTAAGGGGTAAAAAAATTATAAACATAGTAAAGAATATGCAGATAAAACATATACATTTATTGCACAACTATATGTACACTCATTTGACCATCAGCATACCTTTAGGTACTTAATCATGCAATGTACTTTCAGATCCTATTCTTAAATTAGCCATTCATTTATTATATACTTGTGAGATCATGTTTTAACTGCTGGGCACATGAGAGGTTTTATTTTTAATTTATTTTTTTTTTATTTTTTTTTAGGCTGGAGGTTCCCCTCAGTTCTCCACGTTTCATCCTCACCTAGGTTAAATAAGGTACAATCTGGTCATGACATTGTTCTCAAATAATTCTGGCATATTGTGTACTGCCACATTACTTGCAGACTTGTGAGGCTTCTCTGTGAATTAAAGAAGAGTAAATAAGATTGCATAATCTGCATACCAAGCAGCTCACTTTATTGCGTGCTTTGACATGCTTTTTATTACATCAATTAACAACACTATCCTTCCCTCCCGAGTTTTATGCGGTACTTTATTCAGTGGGTATAGTACATGAAAGCTTAAGGGTAACTGAGTACCATTAACAGTTAACTACTCTGCATAAGGGATGCTCTGAACAAAGCTATTGTAATGGAGATGCGTATGTCACCACAAGCCAGTCCCAGTTCCCTGATTCTTAATGGTAGGAAATAACACAATAGGGTCAGACTAAAAAGGTTTCCTTATGAAAATTTTATCAGCAACATTGGTAAATTGCTGTGGGATAGGTGCTTTGCTCTGCTGCAGACCTGGAACCTGCTTTAACAAGGTGCATGCTGGATGTATTGCATCAGTTCTACAAGTTATTAAGGGCACTCAAATTGAATTAACACCAAATCAAGCCAGTGCACTTAAGAATACAAATGCACTTAAGGGATGCCTCAGAATGATTTGTGACTAAAGAAAGTAACGGAGAGAAAGGCCTTCAAGACCACAGAGGTGGTGTAGAGTGTCATATACAGGAAAAGCCATAAGTAGGACTTAGAATACCGGAAAACTATGAACTTCAGGGGATCTCAAATACCTTAGAGCCAGCTAGAAAGTATATGGACTCTTACTTTAGGAGGAAAACAACTAATAAATAAATTAAAGCCAATTTTCTTAGTGGCACAGTCTGCATTATCCCTGAAAATATCACCGTTACTTCTAATATGATGATAGGCTGACAAAATGGCATATCAGGTAACTTGGAAGCACATTTTCAAAGAGAGCTTTTTTTCCTTCAAGGTAGCAATGACACAAAGATTCCTTTCAATAAGCGAATAGAAAAAAGAAATGTTTGACAGCTGATCAGTGAATCTATTTTTGTTGCTGAACTGGATGTATGTCAGGTGTGGACTTACCAATTATACCAAAAATGCAATGATTTGCTGTTCCTGATCATCTTTTTCCCAGAAAGACAAATGAAGGTTAATACTCAGATAGCAGCGCTTCTGCAGATAGTTAATAAATAGATAAATAATGGATTCAAGATAACTGTAAGTGATGTGTGAAAAAAACAGCTACGTTTAATTGTTGGCAGGCCTTCAGTGCTATTGTGAGTTCAAATCAAACTTTGTGCATGCCTTAGAAACGTAACAACCAAGAAAAAAAAATTTCAAAAAAACCCACTAAAACCTATTGTACTACTTGCAATCTGTTATAATAATCATTCAATAACTAATTAACATTTTACAGGAGACCTGGACAGCTCTGAACTTGGGTATATCATAATTAAATATATTCCAGATATAGTGAGTAAATGTGCACTTACATCTGGGGAACTGAACATCCACTAGTTCTTCTTTATTTTAGAGAGGCATGCATTCTGGATACTACTATGCCTCCACGTCATTGCTCCACAGAATGAAGGGAAGGGGTTGGAGCATTCTGCTGCTCCAGCCAATAGCACGGTCATCAAATTGCAAATGGATTGAGGAAGAGCCCAGGTGTGTTTTGTTTTTCCTTGGACAATAGAGGGACACCTGGAATTGACACTTGATGTATTTTTTCAGGTGGAAGGCCTTGAACTGCCTTTCATTTTTAGGGGTTCTTGGAAGCTCTCCAGCCTATTTTGCTAAAATATGTTTTTTTATGAGTTACATGAGGTTTACATTCGACACAGAATGCAGATTTTGTGGGTGCCATGTGGTTCCTCCAGGAAACATTAGTGTTATGTGAGTGCTTTATGTGATATGGCTGTCTTATGTACAACTAATGTGTTGTGTGGGTATCCTATATATCTGACAGAATGTTGCTTCAAATTATGTAGTGTCATGTGTGCCATATATAATATGCACTTACTGTAAATGATAGCTGCAGCTAGGATAACATGTGGTACATAATGTCTGATATTAACATCATCAGTTGACATCTAGGAACAGACTAAATTTGTCAACACTGGCTTACCACAAGTGTTACACCAACCCAAAAAAAGTGTTTAGAGTAATTATTCCTATCCTGGTCTTCACTTCCTTAAATTTTGTAGAAGTGCAGTGCAAAGGCCAAGTTCTTCCCTGGGCAAAATTCTCCTCCGCTGTTGTCACTCCCTCTAGCTGCAGGGAAGGATATAGGGGGATGACAGGCTGAGGCAATGGGCAGCATGTATGTAGGATGTGCCGCCAATGCCAACACCTATCACCAACATGCTATGTGTGCAGATGTCAAATGTGCAGTATGCACAGAATTAAACAACAAGAGTTCTAGGCTAACTAATGACACCCTTTGAGTTAATCCTTCAGCATAGAAGTTGTTAAATGTAGTATGTGCAGCATTTCAGAGCAAAATGCTGCGCATACAAATTCCAAGCACCATGACCATGTCAAACCAGTGAAATAATCATGGTGCTTGGGGTAATCCTTTAGAGGAATACGTCAGCGCATGATATAGTGGTTATGTTGCCAGGTTTAACCTGGCATTTCTTCATTGTAAGTGGTCAAACCATTTTAGAATGGTTTACTTTTTACCTTGGGGTTAGCTCATTGGTACATCCAGCACACTGTGGTGCCTATGGCGCTTAGAGTGTTCATTTAAAGGGACACTTCACTGCCCAAATAAAAAATAATTAAAAAATGATATACCGCAAATGAA